ATGTATGTACGATATTTTTCAAAATATAAATGATAGGGTGGCAGTGACGGACTAAGGCTAAAGGGGGTCATAGGCAAAATAGGCCTATTTTTTAGTTATGAGATACACATACTTTGTATTTGGTGGTTTGATATCAAAGCATGTAGTATGTAGTTCTTTTTAATTATGGGAAAAAATAGTATCCATGTATAAAAATTAAATAAATATAATTTATTTAATTGATTATAATCGGTTCACAATTTGTCGATAGCTCACTACAAGTTTAACCCTAATTAGAGAACTGAAATACAGAGAGGATAAGTAATACGATATAATAGTAAAAACCAATCTGAAACTGACGGTTGAAGATGTTTTCGACTATCCCACCTTGTATCTGAAGAAATACAATACAGCGGTCAACCTTATAATCCGATTACGAAGGTATATTGGTTACAGATGACCGACCAGTGTCGTAGAGTATATGATTGAAACATTGATTTAAACTAAATAAATATTTTTTTAAATTGTACTTATGTAAATTGTGTTTTAATAGAACTTCTTTATTTTATTCAAAAATAAAAAGTTTCTTGCCATTTGTAAAAGATACATTTATTTAATTCAGGGGAAAGGTGCCAAATGTCGCCTGGCAAAATTTTTGTTTTAAATGTATTTATTATTTTCGAATCCGGAGAAAACTAAAAAATATTTTTGAAGAATTTAAACGAAGAATGAAAGATTACATTATTCCTGAGGGCAGAAAGTCCCCGAAAACTTCTACAATGTTTATTTTAATATGTTATGTAACAGGAGTGAAAATAAAAGAGAAAATATAGTGTAATTTTTAATTGAAAATATTATGCATGCAAAAGAAACCTTTTTATTTATTCTAATAACTATTTCATTCCGCCTTTAAATTCTTCAAAATGCTTTTTAGTTTTCTCAGGATTTGAAAAAAAAATGAGTACATTTAAAACACATTGAACATTTTGACAGGCGACATTTTGCGCCTTTCCCCTTTAACACCTTACGATTACAATTACAATTACTTACCTTATATAATTACGATTAGAAATCTATTCAAATTTAAAATAAATAAAATCAACTTCGGATTTCGAGTCGTCTTGAGGGTTTATAATTAGCGGTTGTGTCTCTACGGTTGCATCAATTATGTTATCAAGATTCCACATTTTTTCTTCTTCTTTTATTACATGTCTTACTGCATCTTTCCAGTTTTGTTCTGTAATATGTTGTAAAGACTTGTATAACAATTCAGGTACAGCTTGTATTTTATATGACGTATTTTTTCTAGCCACATAACTTTTCATTTGTGCCCAAATGAGTTAAATTGGATTTATTTCGCAGTGGTAGGGAGAAAGTCTAAGGACTGCGATGTTTCGCCTTTCCGCCGTTTTGTCAACTACGTATTTCTTGAACTTAGATTTGTGTTGCCGGGAAATTTTTAAAAGTTCTGCTTTTACCATTCTATCTTCTTCAGATAGTTATTCGCAACCAGTCAAGAATATCCTGTTTCTTCCACGCAGTCGTTTAAAGTCTTTCTACTAGTCGTGAATGATAAGATGCATTATCTAATACTATAATTGAATTTAGTGGTATGTGTTCAATCATCTGCTCAAAATACTCTTCGAAAACATCACCTGTCATCTCCTGGTGATAGTCTTTTGTGCTTTTGGACTGAAATTCCAACAAACCATGCTTAACAAATCCTTTTTCACTGCCAATGTGTTTCACCGCCAAATCTACTACCTTTACCAGAAGGTGGGGAGATACCAGTAGACCAACCTTCGATAAAGGCTTGCCTGGAGCCTAATATATTTTTATCTGACCAATTTTTTTTAGAGTATGACCTGAGTTTATCCACGTTTCATCCTGGTAAAAGATTGGCCTTCCTTCAGCCCGGAAGTTTCGTATGGATCTTAGATAATTTCTTCTTCAACATATTATCTCCTCCCGGTCAATAAAAAGTTGTTTTCGGTCTGGTTTCTCCCACCGAAAATTTAATTCTTTTAAAACTTGCCACAATTTAGTTCGTCCGATAATAGGCAAATCCAGGTTGTCTCTAACTTCTTGTAAAATTTTGTTTATGTTTGGTATGTCTCTTTTGAAAAAAAAGTCCATGAATTTTCCTTCGAATACCATTTTTGGCAAATTCATCAATTTCACTAAACTTTTTTCCTCTCTTTAAGTGTTCGTTTGTATTTGGGTTAGCTATACCGTGTTTTTTTCTTTCTGATAGGAACCTATATATAGTTGACTCCCCTACGCCAGTCATGTTGGCACAACTTTCGACTATGTTGCGAACAGTGTTTGTGGGATTTTGAGAGACCAGAGCATCGTGAACATTCAGGACAATAGTCTTCTCTCTTTGTGAATAGACAGACTTACTGACTGTACGCAACAGTACCGTTATAAAACTTGATGATGTTGATGGTAAAGCCATCACAAACAATCCAACAACACTTACGCACTGCATATAATTCGCAAAAGGAATATTCGAGACGCTAATTACTGTTGTAGATGCAGAAACACCGACGAGCCGTAAATTACATGCGATCAAAAACGTACTAAACAAAAAAATTGTTTTCGTTTGTAATAACTTCATCCTTTCAAGTTAAGTTTCGAATATAAACTGAACAGACGAGGCACGTGGCCAAAGCCGGCATCTTTATACCCATTATATTATTAAAAATCTGGGGAATTCCATTCTAATTACCTTGCAACGAATAGTACCTTCGGATATGAATTCCAGGTTTTCTAGTGAAGTGATTAAACGCAAAGATTAGTATTGAAATATTCAAAGAGATAAGGTATACTTATTTACAAAATTGTTAATGGTTAAATTCTTATTTTTATTAATATAATATAATAACTAACATTATTTGTGAAAGTTTTAATTGTTTTTTGTTAAATATATTAGTCTTAAAACATTATTAATATTAATATTAATTTTAATGCATAAACACTCATGAACGCCTATGATAATACAAATTTTACGACCGTTTTATGACTTTGAGGCACATTTCGAATAATTTGTGAACGGATAATAGTTATATTGCCTTTTTTCTCTCTTTTAATTCAGATATGTGTCAATTACGTTGTCATAATTTATAGAGTCATTTAATAGCTCTCTTGCATATAAAAATTGATAAACTATTTAATTTTTGTTTTTATTAATCTCTCTATTACTCTCTATTCCTAGAATTCTGTTTAAATTTGTGAATGTTGCAATAATAATATTTTCCTAAATAAATGATCTTACTTTCTTTACTTATAAGAGTTCTTGCCATTCTGATTCTTGCTGTACATACGGTATGACCTCTATATACCAAATGAGGTCCTCAGAAAGAAAGGAAGATGTCTATATTCAGTCTAGAACTCCGTGGTAGCTCTTTTACCTTTGGGTAGGTATACAGAAGACTATAAGTACTAATTAAAAATACGCGTGATTACGATACAAAAACCAGTAGTTAATCATAACCCAGATTGCTTTACAAAAAGAGGATGAATTAGCGTAAAACAAAGCTGTATGCAAATATTATGAGACGAACTTTGAATATCTATATTATACAATCTGCTGGTCTACAAAATCATGCTAAACAAAAGTATGCTAAATATGAGTGAAAATGCCAGCCAATTTTTTAATAGTAAACGTTTTGTGCAGTATTTCTGCACTTCTTCAGTTCTAATGATTGTAAAGTCATATAGATATCAAACAATGTCAAATGCATATGTTGAGGTGTTACAAAATATATTTGATAAATATATTAAAAGTAACAGTAAAAAACACATTCAGAGTTTTTGTAAAATTTATACAAACATTAAAAAGTCACAAAAATGTCACAATATAATAACAAGAACAGTATAATATAATACAATACTTCTATTCTGTCGCTGATGTACAATATATCAAAACATGAAGCCAGGAGAAAAAGTAATTTGTTTTAATTAGAGCTTAGTGATCAATTTAAAAAAATATATTTTTATAGAAAAAGCATGGAAAGTTAATTTTATTGTTGGAGACACCAAAGTAATTAAAAAAGGCAACTATTTTTGACAAATCGGGAAAGACTACTCCGAAAAGAAAAACAAAAAATAATATGGCTTTCTATCTATGGAAATCAGTCTTTGTACGAAAAATCAACTAGATGACAAAAATACTCGTTTAGCAGGACAGCATAGAAAAGTCAATTTATTTATAAATCTTATTAAAAAGAAGGTTACAAATATAGGGTACCGATGACCATTGTTGGGGAACCTAGTGTTGGCGAAATAAATTCTCAACACAATATATTTTAACATATTTTATGTTTTTTTTTGTGAGATAATTTGTTTAACTTGAAATTCCAACGCCTGCGTGTTGTTAGAAAAAAAAAAACAAAGAGTTCGTTATAAGATGTCGGGAAAAAAGGGCGACTTCTGGTCAGTCAAAAAAAATTGTTAGTAGAAACATATAAATTACGTTTTATAAAAATATTAGTGGCTCTTCCCTGTGGGAATCTAATTAGTTTAGTGTAAGTTGTGTTTGAGGAAATTAAAGGTTTTATTGTGAAAAGTTCCCTAAATTATTCCTAGCGTGCTCACCAGCGAAACTTCTTTAATGTTGTAAAATTCCAACATTAGAAATAGTGAATATTAATGAAATATAATGTGATATGAATTTGTTTAACTCACCATGTGGTTCCTTTTGGAAAGGATTTTACATCGAATGTGATGTATGAAAATTGCGAAGTTCTCGTTAAAATGAATATAGGAATTTAATTAAGAAGTATCAAGGTAGAACCGATGGTAGCTATTTTTCCCAGAGGATAAAAATCGAAAAATTTAGGCCATGTCTTGATCGGATTTAGGTGTACCTAAGTTAAATTATGAAATGTAATATTTAACGAGATTTTAAGGATTATTTAACAGCAAGGAGTAATAAATTATGCTGAGATTATCGATGTCAGTACGTCTCTTCATGGAATTTTTTTAATTTTTTTCAATAAGCACAATTATATACTCACCCACAAAAAGCACGATGGCAGGATAATCGTAGAGTTTTGTCAAATACCGCTCTGTCAAAATGTTTACTGGTCTTGGTTTCCAGGGAAAATACTAAAAGAAAAAAATGGTATTTTATAAATAAAACAAACAATACGAACATAGCATCACGTAGCGTTTATTTATAAATAGTAAGTAAATAATACGAAAAGCAGAGGGGGAAAAACAAGAAGAAATGAGTTTGTGTCTTCTAGATGTACATTTAAAGCTGTAAGTCTTTATCAAGTTAGGAAAGAAAGAGCTTTTCTTTCATGTTTGTCATATATACATATATGCATATACAGTGCGTTAAGTTTTTGATTAGGTATTGCACACTATACGGAGCGCTAAATCGGCAACGTTGCAAATGTTCGTTCTCCGACCCGAAAATCTACACCGACAGAAAATCATTTATTTAGTTTAGTAATCACAACAACGTTAGGGATGTACTTCTCTGTCGTCCGATCTCATGTTTCATTACGTAAAGCCGATTTTAATAGTAGGAAATTCGATAAAATGCACTGACCTAATCGGTGCATTGTTATCGATTTTTATTAATGTGAAATTTTTTTTGTGGTTGAATTAAAAATAAAAGCGTATTTCTTTAAAAGATAAAAAAAAAAATATACTATATTGAAATTAAAATATTATTCCTAATAAAATATTAAATAATTCTTTATGACCTACAGAAATGGTTCAAATAGTTGACCTTCTACGGCTGAACAGTACCCCAATCTGTCATAAAAACTTCTGCGAACAGATGAAAGAGTTTCTGCTGTAACAGAATTGGAGACTTCTCTTATTCTATTTTTTAATTCATCCAAATTTTGGGCTCTAGCCTCAGAATGAGCGTAGATTATGCTTTTTAAATGTCCCCAAAAAAAAGTCCATGGGTGTAAGATCTGGAGATCGAGCAGGCCACTTAATATCGCATGTTCCACTGATAACTCGATTCGGGAAAGTATTGTTTAAATACTCCCTAATATGAGAACAGAACAGAGAACAGAACAGCCGTCTTGATGAAACCAAACATTCTCCAGATTTACATCAGGAAGATTGAGAATAGCGGGAAGAACATGATTCTGTAACAAATCGACGTATACTCTACTATTCAAGTTGCCCTCAATAAAAAATGAACCTATTATGTGGTCTCCTAAAATGCCAGTCAGACGCTAACTTTTTGAGACGTTGAGTTCGGTAAACAACACTTCTGTGCTGGTTTTCCCGCGCCCAATACCTCGTAATGGAAGGATTGTGTCTCCCTACTAACGAAACAGAAGATTCATCAGTGAATAAAATGTTTTTAATAAAATTTGGTCCACTATTAGCTTCGTTATTAGAGTTTCACAAAACTCCATTCTTCGAAAGTAATCGTCTGGATAAAGCTGCTGCGTTTTCGAATATTTAAAATTCTTGTAACCGTGCTTTTTCCATACTTTCGTTACAGTAAACATTGCTAACATCTAACTCTCCAGCAACGCTTCTACTTGAACGTGTTGAATCTACCTCGATTGTTGCACAAATTTGTGTATCCCGGTATTCTGTTTCCTCAACTTTTTCTGGTAACACTTCTCGAGCGTGACATTTTCTGCAATTTTTGAGGCAATATCAACTCTCAAAATTTTTAACAATATTATAAATTGACTGTACACAAGGAATTGGTCTTCCTCAAAAAACACAGAAAATAAATCTACCACTGTTGCGCAGAATTGCCACTATAAAACCATTTTATTATTTGAGCTTTTTTCGCGGCCATATAAACAGACATGTTTACAAAAATAAATTAAAACTCTACAACTCTACGCTGTTATACCTTTAAACACACCACGGTATAATGACAATATGACAAATTTGCCGACGGGCGACGAGCAACGACGAGTCAACGAAGCAGATATGTAGTGCAAGTCGACGACGCGCAGTGTTGCCATTTATAGAGTGTATACCTAATCCAAAACTTAACGCACTGTATTATTAACATTTAAACAGCAGGTAAGGATTATTAACGTTAAGTGTATGTGTTTGTATTTTTTACCTTCTTTTTCTTTCTTACTGGCTTTACAACGCAAAATATTTTCACCGCATCCACTAAAGTCCTCCACCTCCTACGATCTTGTGCTTCAATTTTACATTGTTGTACCCCAATCCTCGATAATTCTGTCATCCTTCCCTCTCTTTATAAATAATAATATTGGTAAGGAGGATAACGCTTTATTTGCCGTAACTAGTTTTACTTGGACCACTTTTTCTATGTGGTTGTTATCTGTAATTACCACCCCCAGATATTTAAACTCCTTTAGTCTTTCACGACTTTGAAGTTGTGGTCATTGATAGTTATGTCCTGCTTAACTTTTGGTCTTGTATTTTTGATTACTAGAATGTATTTCGTGTTTTCTTCCTGTATTCGAAGACACCGACTATCTGTTTTCTCATCGAGTTGTGAAAATACCTCTCTCAGGTCTCTTGTAGAATGAGCGACTGCATCTTAAAAATCAGCAAATGCCAACAATAGACAATAGTTTTGATCCTCGATTCGCAAATTTCCTCTTAGCTCAGATATTTTACTTATTGCATATGCTAAGACCAAATTGAATAGCAAAGGTGATAAGGGGTCTTCTTGTCTAAGTGCTAATGCTGTACTAAATTGCGTCGATGTTCTATTTCTATCTTTACCTGTGCATCTGTCACGCTCATTTGAGTTACCACCACTTATTTTCTTGGTATTTGGTCTATTGTTGATCTTCTACCATAAATGCCGCATGAGTAATCACCTAGAATATCTTCTGAATATTGATTGAGTCTTTTTAGCAAGATAATTGATAGAACTTTAATACACTGTATTAATAAGCGATATACCTCTGTAGTTTCTAAATTGTTCTTTATCTCCCTTCTTATGTATGGGTATAATAACGCTTCAATTCCATTCCCTATGCCTTTTCTGCATTTTTTATTCCCATACTCTCAAAATAACGTCATACAATTTTTGACGTAAAACGTATTCTACTTTTTTTTATCAATTCTTCATTTATATTATCATTTCCTGGCAGCTTTGATATAAGAGATATTATCGCTTTCTTTATTTCTTAAAGTATTGATGCTGGTATTTTTACATCTGCAGAATGGAATGTAATATTTGCTTCCTTTATCTCACTTTCAATATTTAGTTAATTCCGAAAGTACTCCTTTCGTCGTTCGAAGATTTTTGTTTCTAATATTATTAGTTCACCTGCTTCATTTCTCATAGCTAGTGTTACCCAACAGTTCCAACTTGTCTGACCATCATTGTTGTCCTAAAGACTTTCCTTACTTGATTTCTCTCGGCACTTTCTCGTATTTACTGTTCTATGTAGCTCCTCTTTTTAGTTCTGAGTAGTCGCCTTGTCTGTACTCTTCTTCTGTAAAACTGTGCTTTGTTCTCATTTGTAGGATTTCGTAACATTTTTAATCTTTTGAGAGTTTTTCTTTACAGCATTATCTCGCATTGTATGTCAGACCTTTTTCGTTTGGGGAGAGAGTGTTTGTGTAATTGAGGATTATTGGTTTCTTTATATAATGTTTATTTGCCGTCTTAGCTTTATGGTATTATTCTGTATTTTTTATACGGAAGCCTCAACGGAGTGCTTGTTGCTTCTTGCTTACTTTCTTGTTTGTTATGTAGGTATACAATTATATTTCTGCTCTTATTTCACAATTTTAATAATTGGATAAGGTCATATGGTTTAGTAATTCTAGGTTTTTCGGTTATTCCTTCATTTAATAATTTTACTTCATTAATTATTTTAGAACACCCCACTCATATGCTCTGTTGTACCTAATAAAATTATGGAAGTGGGACAAATGTCGGACGAATGGAGAAGCCGTGTATTATTACCTGTTCATAAAAACAAGGGAGATGAACAGCAATATACAAACTACAGGGCCATAAAACCACTTTGTCATAATACGAAAATGTGGAAGAGACTAATTTATAGAGGTATAGCTGAAGAAACCAAAATTTACGATTATCAGTGTGGCTTTATGCAAGCCAGATCAACAACCGATGCAATTTTCATTATAAGGCAGTTGGTGGAAAATACAGAAATGAAGAAACAAACGCTGATATAGTATTCTTTGATCTTGAGCAAGCATATGATAGAATTCCTCGAGATATTGCGTGGTGGGCAAGCAATAAGAAAAAAGTTCCCGGTGAATATGTAAAGATTGTCAGGGGATTGTATAAAGGAGTAACAAATAGTATTACGACAGGTGTGGCAGACTGATAAATTTCATGTGAAAGTAGAATTGCAACAAGGCTCAGAGCTTAGTACTTGTTTATTCCCATTATTGTTATATCATATAACAACAACATTACAGGGTAACATTTCCTGGAGCTTTGTGTATACTGGCGATGTAGTGTCAGTAGGAAATAGTAAAAGCCATTTTAAACAAAAACTGAATAAGTGGAGATAAGCTTTTGAATGAAAAGTTAGTCCTCAATTATATATTTCAAGGCAATTAAAAATCTTTTATATATGTATATATCTTGTAATTATTTACCTGTGCTGTTGGATCTTCTGCTAATTCTGTCCTTGCATCCATTGTAATAATATGACCATTGCTGTCTAAAAGTAGCAACGTTGGAATTCCCCGGATACCATAGAGCTGAGCTAGTTCCGCCCTTACTGCCGTCTGTTGGAATGGTATCGACAACCAAGGCATGGTTTCAACATAGGCTCTAAATGAGTCCGCACTCCTAAAATTAAATGAGAAATATTAACATTTAATAGAATAAAAACTAAATATTTGTAGGTATATTAACATTAAAATGAAGCAATCATTTTTAGATTGTCAAGTCTTTCAAAAGGTAGATTGTCAGTTGCAGTTGGATAGTTTTTGTTACACATTCGTGACGGACCAGTTTAGGGTTAAGAAGAGATTTATTGTATATCTCGTATAGTATAAATACTTATCAAGTTTATGAAAGTTAATATATAAATATAATTTTACTGAGAAGTTAACCAGAAATAAATATACAGTCTGACTTTATAGACTAACTAAGGCACTGCACCCTTTATTTATTGCTTTACACAAACTTGTGTAACAATTACAATTGTGCAGTCAGAACTTATTGTTAGCGGAAAATATATACGGCATGGTGCACGGCACGACACAAAGCCTAATTTACTAAACCAAAATCCCTTCCAACCCCTGCTAGTTCTCGTGAATATCAAATTCCTCAATACCCTTAATTAAACTTTATTCGACTATTACCAGACAAATTAAGGCGGAATGTATATTTGAAGGGGAGATGGGAAGTTAGTTTTGGCGAAGTTATACAAGCAGATGAAATTTGAATACGAGCTCCCCGTTTGAAGATGTAGTGTAGAATATCTAATAGTTGTTAACAATCTTGACTTTCTTTTTTTTAATGTATTCTCATATCTTCTTTATCTGCTTCTTGTAGAACATGATCCTGTTTATTCTATCATCCCAGCTTTAGTGTTTCTAGTGTCTTTTCTAGTGTATCGGGTTTATGTGTTCATCCTAACTCATCTTAGACTCTAGTATCACTTAATGTACCATTGTAACGTGTCAAACATCCGATTGTTACATTTTTTTTAAATTTATTTTCCAATATTCCAATACGACCGGTAGTTAGTTTTGTCAATACTCTACTAGCTTCACTAGCAAAATTTGTCGACACTCTTTTCCAAGTTCTAATTGAATCGGTTATTTCGAAAAGGTCATATCTCCACTAATTTCACAAAATGAGGTAACTTCGACATTTTGTTCAGAATATCCTTTAAGTTTTATTACACGTGAAAACACCGCATCTCTGCTGTTCGTTACTATTAATCTTGACAGGCGTAGGAGAACCTAAGTTTTTTTCCTATCACGAGGGCGAGACCCACAACGGACCCAACGAAGTGTGCACCTTCCTGAAAAATTATTTTGAAAATGAGGTTTCTGAAAATGTAAAAGGGGTCCATATAGTTATGCAGGCCAAAATAAGAACCACACGGTAATAGATTTCTTCTAGCTCTTACTTTGTCAAGAAAATTCAATTACATTTTTCATTATTTTCCAAACAGAGGCCACTCATTCCTCCCACGCGATAGAGATTTTGGGGTAGCAAAAAGACTCATTCGCAAGCAGGACCGAATTTTTCTTCCTGAAGAATATTACGAATTGATAAAAAAATAATCAAGAAAATCTCTTTTTTCTATAGAACTGGTAAAAAATTAAACAATTTTGGAATTCAAACAATGGTAGCTTATGCATTATAAGAAAACCGTACTCTCCATTGACTCCTATGGGAAAAAACAAAACATGAGAAAATAACTTTTCAAATTTCTCAATATAATTAGTTCTAATCTAACAACAAAAAACCGGGAATTGTTAAATTACGTCCATTTATCGATGGGCTTTTGTTTCATGAATTTTCCTTGGGAAAACCAGCTGGTGTTGGTCCTCGTTTGATAACAGAGTCTGCTTACATAGAAAAAAATCTCTATTAATTCGAAAAAAATAGGCAAAATCAAGAAACTTGTACAATATGTACCAGAAGGCTAAATGTTTTTTTTAATGAGCTGATTTTATGGCCTACCACTAATAGTGATGAACCACCAGAGGAAGATTAATAAAAGACTATTTCTTAACCTTCAACATGTTTTTATACCACCTAAAAAATTTTTTCCTTAATTATATTGGAGTTTTCTATTATTAATCTTAAAATCATCAGTGTTGCTCTTCCTTCAACTGCTTCCAAATAACTTTACTATGGTCTCTTTCGGTGTATCAGCTCTTTTCACTAATGTTGCCATATAAGACACCATTCCAATCATAAATAACCTCTTACTCACAAAGACCATTGACTCCAATATATGTTCACAAATTACCTCTCTACTTCAATTATGCCGCATACAAAACTTATTTATTTTTAACGATAAAATTTATAAAAAATCAGAAGGTTTAGCAATGAGAAATCCACTATCTCCCCTACTTTGCAGATCTTTTTCTCGACTCTCTTGAAAATACTTTTGATCATTCCCAATCACAAATGGTATGGTGGTTATGGTATAGATATGTGAATAATATTTTAGCGTTTATGGAAGGCCCACCTTTAGAATCACATAACATTTTGTTATGTATTAACATATTGTTATTTTGTAACAAAATTATGCAAAATATGCATAAATACTAAATATATGCTGGCCATATCAAAAATGCAACAAAATAACTTGCAACATCAAACTATAGAAATGCTGGAAGAATTCTGCTACATAGTGTCATTGGTGGACTGCAAATTCAACAAGTTATTAATGATTTGGCAGAAGAGAAGCACTTTATAGCTTAACTATCCTACTTCAGAAATGCAGAGATTAGCTTAACGATGTCTTCCTATGCTTTATAGATTACCAGAAAGCTTTCGATTGTGTTAATTATTCGGAATTAGTAAGATTGCTCCAGGAATGCTCGATATATAAGAATGACCTTAAAATCATAAAGAACCTTTATATGAATCAAGTGGCATCTGTGAGAGTGTAAATGGAATCAACATCATATTTCTTAATCGAAAAAGGTGTACAACAGGGTTGTATGGGAAGTGTCACTTCTCCTTTTTAATCTTTACTCTGAAACGATTTTTGATAGAGCCTTAAGTGACACTGAAGATAGAATTAAAATCAAAGAACAGACTATTAGTAATCTTTGCTATGCTGATAATACAGTCATAATAGCTGATAGCCAAGAAGCGCTACAATGACTAATAGACAAAATAAACACTGAAGGAGAACGACTCGGCTTGAAGATTAATATAGACAAGACGAAGGTAATGGTGGTTAGTAGAACACGAAATATGCAATTAAATATAAGAGTAAATAATAAGAACATCCAAAAGGTCCCCAAGTTCAGATACTTCAGTAGTTGGATAAGTGAAGGTCTAGATGCAGACATAGAAATACGTAGCAGTATTGAGCCAGTCAGAACAGCATTTACGAATATGAGAACCTTGCTAAGCAACAGCAGCCTGAACTTCGATATCGCTTTGTAAAATGTTACATTTACTCCATACTGCTATATGGTATAGAAACCTGGACCATAAAAGCCAATGTAATGAACCGATTGGAGGCCTTTGAAATGTGGGTATTTAGAAGACTACTTATTTCTTGGACAGATCACACAACAAATACCGAAGTATTAAATCGAAAGGGCAGAGAACGAGAATTGCTGCCAATAATAAAAAAACTGCTTATCTGGGTCATATATTTCGAAATTCCAAGTACTAATTCTTAAAACTTATTATGGAAGGGAAGATAGAAGGAAATCGAAAGAAAGAAATACTCATGGACTAAAAACATAAGGAATTGGACAAACCTCGATGCCTATGAACTCTTTAGAGCCACACAAGATCAAGAGAAGTATGCCAGAATTGTCGCCAACATCCACTAATTGTATAGGGCACCATAAGAAGAAGATTAGAAATAACACAAAGAATATGCGTGGCTAACCGCTGTTATTTTGTACTAGGCCCTCGACTAAGAGCGAGACGTATGTCAAGAGGAATAAACTGCACAATTTATAAAACAATAATGTCTCCATTGTTTATTTATGGATAGGAAACAATGGGCAATGTCGAGTTACAACAAATATTAGAAAGACAATTTTTGACGACCATATATGGCCTTAACGAAAAAAGTCTGAACAAGGCGATACAATTTCGAACTTTATAGACATTTTGGTTATGCTCATATCGCGATGCACATATCATTGAACGAGCTATATTAGGAGTTTCTCTGAGAGAACATATACGAAGTAAGGACATGAGAAGCAGGACGAAGATGGAAGATGTAATTGGAAGCATTGCCCAAATGAAATGAAGCTGAGTAGGATACGTTGCAACCAAAAATCAGAGAAAGATGGATGAAAAACATTATACATTGGAGACCACGTGAGCCTAATTGTAGAAGAGGAAGTCCACAAAAAGAGGCTAGACCAGATAAAAGCAAAAGTAGGAAGAAGTTTGCTAAATAAGAAAAAGACATGTCGTAAAAAAAACATTAAAATAAACCCCATACGATGGATGGGCCATGTTATGCGGTCGGATGAAAGTGATCCCACTAAAATAATAAATATACCGGTTCAAACAAGATGAAAAGGCGAGATAAACTCAGATACCTTGAACATGTGCAGATTTAAGTGAGATTGGAGTAAGGGAACGGAGAAGACAGACACTACACAGGGAAGGATGGAAGAATGTTTTGAGACAGATCAAGGTTCACGAAAGGCTGTAACGCCAAATGATGATGAGTATGTTTCTCTTACATATTACAGTATTTTGTTTAGAATTACTAAATTTTAAAATAGTAATTTTTGTTATATAATACGTTAATGCTATTATTTTTCTAATTTATGTAACAACTGTTACTATTTTGTGTACTGTATTATTTTGTACGTTTCCACCTCTACCAACCGGAGTGTAGCTTAAACCCTCGCCGTCGCCTTCCTCCTGTATCCTTTCACATCCAGTGTTACTCCCGCCGAAATGTAATCAAGGACAAAGGATGCGTCAGATATAGTAATTGGTATAAAGGTCAAATACTGTGACATCTGTGGGGCGTAGGAAACACAAACGTTTAGGATTTGGAACCAGATTATCTGGATATGCTTACGAAATTTAATTTGAATACAATAAAGGCGAATGATAAGCCCTTGTAGTTGATTTCTAATCGTGATAGTGTCCGTTTACTGCTA